GGATTCTGAGCTTCATAGGTTGGGGAACTCTGATAGTGAGTGGGGTGATAGTTGCAAGATACTGCAGAAGATACCCAATGCAGTGCGATGAATGGTACAATGTTCACACACTGCTTCAGACTGTGGGATACCTTGTGGGCACTGTGGGGTGGTGTGTTGGCATGTTGCTTGGAACTTCCTCTAAACATTATTCTTCCAAAACTCAACGTATTCTCACTATCATTGTCTTCACTTTCCTAAGCCTTCAAGTTAGTGACCTCTCCATCCTATTTTCTGATATTCTGTCATATTTTGGTTTAGTAGATTTCTTTTGGCTCGCAATGTATATGTTGACAGATTCAAATATTTGGTCTGATCATCATTATGAATATGCTTAATTGATAGAAGAATTATTTGCTCTTTCTCTTTCAATAAGGTCGAGAATTCAAACTTTATAACTAAAGAAAAAGTTATTAGAAGAGCTATCCCTATCAAATTCAACAAATGTTATAATGACTTTGTTTGCAGTGTTGGAGTCTAAAAACAGCAGGCCCTTCTTTTGATTCTTTTCCCCATACTATTTTATTTTTAAGAAACATTTCTTTAGTAAAAAAAATCTTATATTAAAAAAAACTCTACCATTATCATGCATATTTCCATGATTGGTTTGCCTATTTAGTTTATTATATTGAGATTGTTCTAATAAATTATTAATACTATGAAACAGATGCTTTCCATTTTTGTGAGAACAAAGAAAGAGGGATACATCAAGTGGTGGAGGATATGCCATAAGATTATGGGGTATGCCATAGTTGCAATAATCATAGCAAATAACATATTGGAAGGCATTAATTATCAAAGTGAAAGTGGTGGCAAATTAAATTTGGTGTCTTTGGCCATTCTTGTAGTTCTCCTTCTCATTGCTTTTTCATTGGAAATTTTCAGATGTATCAAGTCTAGGGCTTTCATTCTTTGATCTATATGCAGTTTCCTCACATAGAGGCAGAACTAGCTTACAAACTTAAGGGGGCCAATCATTTTGATTTGATTGAAAAAAATATCCTTTTTTTTTTTATTAAGTATAGATATTCCTTATCGAGGCTTTCCAAAGGCACTGTCAAAAGAGACTATTTGAGAACAATAATGGTACAAATTAGTTTTTATGCTCATAATTTATTAACAAGAACTTATAGGAATGATGATAACAAATGTTTTTTAAAAAAATAAAATGATAAAACAAAATTGATTTATTATCAACATGCATACAAATAAAAAATATGCTAATAATTAGCTTCTTGTATTTGTATATAAGTTGTAATGTGATTGAATTTGATTTTATTTATATACATTTGGCAAAATTAGTCTAAGTGTATGCTGAACAAGAGTTATGTCTTTAATAACTTGCCATTGATATTTTTTTGGAAAAATTGCATTGAGGTCCCACCGAAAACAAAATACTACAAAACGGTCTCTGAAAATCTGATAATTGCTTTGAAGTCCCAAAGAGACTTGACTGCAATGAAAAAGTTTAAAAGACTTTGTTACCCCTAGTAACTTAGCCAAAAAAAATGCTGAAAAATAAAAGTTGCTAATATAGGCCGTGATAGTTGTCAGTGTAGATTGCGATAGTTATTCTCAATATTGTTACTTCACTTGTTAATTTATCTGCTAATATTAAGTTTGGAAAAATGTGATTTCAATATGATGACAAGTGATATTGACATATTGTCACACCTTACTTATATCATACTTTAGAATCTATTTAGAGCCATTTTGAACCACTTTGGATGGTTCTGAGCTTAAAAATTTTATAAAAACCCTGATTTTCTGATTTTTACTGTTCACTATGCGTTTTTCGGATTTCAGGTCCAATTTTAAAAAATCATAACCAATTCTAGAAAAATCGTATGGAGGTGTTCCAAAATTCTACAGAAAGCTCTTTCAATGTTCTTTAAGAAAAAAATATCCAATTAGACTTATCTTTGGCCAATTCGTATAGTATAATCAATAAATATTATTGTTCATTTGGTAAAATCTGGAACTTTCAGATTCTGTGCCTCAACTTTGGAAATTCATAACTCCTTGTGTACACATCCAATTGAGGTGATCTACCTCTCATTTTAAAGCTTGGGATGTGTACTATAAGTTTGCCAAATTTTGTAGCTTAACTCATTCATTTCATTGGTCAAACTGAAGTTTGAAACTAACTACTTTAGAACCTACGTTTCATCCCTTAACCACTCTTTACTTTAATTCTTTTTATTTCTTCGGTAGACATAACTTGGGTTTGATTTTTTCCATTCATGCTCATACGCTTTCATTCATGTCATAAACATTCCAAACACATACATTGCATTGATGGCATCCATAAACACAATTTACAACATAGGAGAATTGTACATTGAAGATTAATCTCATTCATTAACATCAAATCCTCCACTTTCTTCTCCTTGCTTCTCATGCCATTATTACCCATCATTGATTGACTTAAATGGTTGGTTAGGGAGGGGTGAGATTCGGAGGAATCTCAATAGCAAACTTTACCACATACATGCACAAGATGGATGCTAGTGTATGGTATGTAGTTTTCCATAAACTTAAGTTAACTAGTGACATGCTACCATGCTTTATGCTTAGTATACAAATGCATGGCCATGGAAACATATTAAAAACAGTATTTCCAGCAACAATCACAAATATCAACAAAACAACACAACACATAAGTATACCGCATCAAGAATATAAAGGGTAAGTTCACTACCTTGCACCTCAAACTTTTCTCTTATTTTTCCTTTGACTCCCTTGACTTTCCAACCATGTGGGTATTCGGTCAATATCACCAAACATTCTCTTGGATATTCCAAGGTCCTAAATATAGTCACATTGATCATACAATCTATTAGGACTAAGAGATTAAATAAAATTCAAGACTAACCTTCTTGAACTTAACCATTTTCTCTTAATTTTGGATTAATGTTCTAGCTTTGTAAAAATTATTCTCTTAAGCTAATCCTCCATAATTTTACCCTGGGAATCCAAATATCCACTTAGATTAATGAAAATCCAACTCCTTTCCCAAGAACTGGTGTTGGATGAAAAGGAGGTCATGAAATCCAAAAATTCCAACTTTAATTCCAATGCTTCTAATGCTTGTTCTTTAGGTTTATCCTACACCATTTTTCATTTTAAACCCATTACAAGCCTTAGAATCATCAAAATCACATCCTAGGTTATAGTTCTCATCTTGACCGAACCATACCTCTAGTAAACCAACCATGAAATCTTTTCAATAACAACTTAAAACCACTTGAAACAACCTTGAATCAAAGTATTTTAACTAAATATAACATCAAAACTTCCACCTCCTAACATTATACATTTCGGCCAGTACCAAATCCTAAGGGAAACCAAACTTTTCAACCGTATAAACCAAGGAATCAAGGCAAGGAACAACATAGAACAACCTAATAACCTCAGATCCAAGCTTGGTTGATCAAAAGAGGTAACTTTCTCTCGGTTGTTCTTCAAGAATCCACATGGCAAGAGTTTCCCCTAGAGTTCTTCAATTTGGTCGAAAATGAAGGGGGCTTGATGGCTGTTTATAAGTCAAATATTAACTAATTGACATTCAAGTTCAAGGAAATTACGATGATGATATGTCAAGCTAGGATTTCTTTTTGCATTTTCTCTTCCCTTTATTTAAATAAAAAAGAAATGAATTTTAGAAGTCAAAATCCTCTCCATTCGTAGCTTGACAGATGGCGTAATATAGGCCAAGTAAAAAGCAAGTGTAGCTTTATACTTTATTAGTGCACTTTTCCTGTCCCGTTTCTCAATTCTTGTCTCCTAGAATACTGATATATTTGTCACATCAGTTTTATCTCATTCCACTACCCCTTCTCTCCTATTTAATGCCTTCACATGTGTCATGATTGCCTTACATGATGCATTAATAAGCCATCATGACTTTTGTTTTATCCTTAGGTATTTTTCTTAATTTACTTGGCTCTTGTTTTTTGGGATTTCTTTCTGACTTTTTGGAGCTTTGAAAATTATTCTATCTACCCCAAAAATTCCTTCCACCCTTACAGAAAATCTATGAATTTTCTCAGGCCATAACACTTCCTTTAAGCCTTGCATAAAAGTCATTTACTAAAATACCCTTTTATCGGCATAATCAGCTCTTTAACTTATTAAAGTCATTCCACTGGCCTTTCGGTTGCAAGACTAATTTTATAAATTAGTATAATCTTTCAATCATTTAACTTCATTTTTGCGTGCATTTTTTAGGTCTCTTGCTATTTTAAATAATTACCTCAAATAGTATACTTTTTACTTGTCATAACTTTATAAATTTCATTTAAACTGCCTCAAAGGTATTTTCATCATTTCTCTTTACAAAAGAATCTTAGAATATTATTTTTCATTTTCTGAGATTTTCTTAGAATTTTCTGTATACTTTCTATTTTTATCTCTATTGGTTGTAACTTTCTGAATTTACAGTTTAATCCCTGCTTGGACTTAATTTCATACAACAATCTCTTTTAAGATTTCTAACTTAACCCTTGGTCTGTTTCTACTCTCTTTTCCCTTTCTGGGCCCTTGAGATTTTACTGGAGCCTTTAGCTTTGATTATACTTGAGCTCCTAAAAACTTTTATTTGACAATTTAGTCCCTGAAACTGTTTTGACTTTCTTTCTCATCTTTGAGACTTCTGCTTAAAAGAGACTTAGGGTCTGTTTGGGTAGCACCCCAAACCATGGTTTGGGGAAAATGCTACCCAAACAGCCTCATAAAAAATAGAAACCTTGGTTTCAGATGAAACCATGGTTTCACCCGCTGAAACCATGGTTTCACCAGAAGCTGATAATATTCGCTTGTGGAAAAAAATCGGGGACGGCTAATGGTCATTCCAAAAACACCCCAGAGATCCTTCTCTTCTCTTCGCTGGCCGACACTCCTCCTCTTCATCTTCGTATTATTAGCTTGCTACTCAGCTCGAACATTGAACTCTTCTCTCGTCTCTCCATCCACTGCCTCTTTCTCTCCCTCTTCTCTTCAAATCTCTCTCCCATTTTCCTTCCCTCTCAGAACAGAAACATGTCTCTCACAATCCCCACCAACCTCTCGAAATTCAACTCCTTCAAGCCCAAGTTGGGCAACTCCCAACCCTCCCTCAAACCCAGACCCTTTATAATCGTCTGCTCTGCATCTTCTGAGAAAACCTCCGATGCATCGCCACTTCAGGCATTCTCCGCCGCGCTCGCCCTCTCCTCCATCCTCCTCTCCGCCCTGCTCCCCGCTGTCGCCGACATCTCCGGCCTCACCCCCTGCAAGGAATCCAAGCAGTTCGCCAAGAGTGAGAAGCAGCAGATAAAGAAGCTTCAGTCGTCGCTGAAGAATTACGCGCCGGACAGCGCACCGGCTCTGGCGATCAAGGCGACAATCGAGAAGACCAAGCGGAGGTTTGACAACTACGGGAAGCAGGGTCTTCTGTGCGGCTCGGACGGGCTGCCCCACCTGATCGTGAACGGAGACCAGAGGCACTGGGGCGAGTTCATTACGCCCGGGATTTTGTTCCTGTACATCGCGGGTTGGATCGGGTGGGTTGGTCGGAGCTACCTGATTGCAATCCGGGATGACAAGAAACCGACCCAGAAGGAGATCATCATCGACATGCCTCTCGCTACCAGGTTGGTGTTCAGAGGATTCAGTTGGCCCGTCGCTGCCTACAGAGAGTTCTTGAACGGTGAGCTTGTCGCCAAGGACGTGTAGGCGTAATAATTTAATGAAGCTGCGTGTAATCTGATTTTTCTCTCCTTTTTCTTTTTTTTCCTTTTAAATTTTCTGTGGAAATTACTATGAAAAATTAGATTGATGGTGTCTGTCACATCTCCGTGCTTCATTTGATTTGTATATTCTCTTGGAATGCCTGTGAATTAGAGCGAAACTGAAGCTGATCTTAAATCATGCATGGTTTATTGCCTTAAAAGAAAGGGAGGCCCCATGGCATCATTACATTGCTTCAAGAAATTTAAAGAATATACTGCCTACCAATCAAAACTTGTATGTAAAACCCACATGTGTGCGCACTATGAACTTTTCTTATTCTTGTCCTTACGCATACATGCGCGATTCTTGTATCTTATTTTAATGTGAACTAGATGTGAGGACTGAGTATTGTACAAAGTTTGAGAAGGAATTGTTGTTCATTTATCGTGAAGGATGCATCTGTATTTTGTGAAAACAATCGGTGTCCAAGAATGAAGCGTTTTCATAAGGTTCACGGAGGCTGATACACGATAATCCCAAGCATTTGTCTCATCCACCTCAAAATGGCATATTTTTGCCTTTGATTAACTAGAATACACTGGTAACAAGGGCACACCAACCACGAAGGCGGATAGGGGGGGGAAGACGAGAAAAATCAAAAGATGACGGCAATAACCATTACAAGGAAGCAGCAGAATTTAACAAGAGTTGAACATAAGGCAAATGCTTGCTGCTTCGATCTTGCAGATCATAACATTACTTGATAAACAACACTAAAATCCCATAAAAGCCCACAATCCCACTGTAAGTTTTACTTCTAAGTTCTAGCCTTCATATCATGCCTTATATTCTCAAGCTAATTATTACTTACTTGAATAATTAATAAATTATTTTAAGACGTGTTTATTCTATTTTATTAAACAATATCATCCCATTTTATGTTTATAATCTTCATGAAAAATACATGACTTTCTGTTTGCAACAAAATAATTCATCTTCTCTAAAAATATTTTTCACTCTTATATTTTATGAATATATATGTGTGGTGACAATTAATTAATTAATTGTATTAAATATCAGAGGTTATTATACATGTAGTATGTTATTACAAAAAGTAGTTGTGAAAAAATGTTATGGGATTTCACGTTTACAATCTTTAAACAAAATTAATATTTTTCTGTTATAAAAAAAATCATTTTTCTATAAACATATTTAATATTATGTTTTATAAATATATGTACACATATTAATTATGTATTAATTATATTATCTTATATATTATTAATTATGTTAGTAAAAATTATTTCATTAACAATTTTATTTCTTCAAATCAAAATAAATCATAAAATCTATCCTTTATATAATTATCATATTAACTTATACCCTTTTTGGTAATTTCCACATGTAAAAAGCACTTCTGGTAATAACTATCCAAACACTCTCACTTCTCAGAATTACTTTTTCTCAGAATCTATTCTCCACAGAATCTATTCTCCAGAATCACTTTTCCAAACCACGGCTTGGTTTCATCCAAACACACCCTTAGTAGCCTACCTTCTTGAGGCTACTTCCAGGGTTTCTAGGCCTAAAAATTGAGATGTGACATATATCCTATGGACTAATACTTTTTAATGATAATGTGATATAATATCATTATTAAAGTCAATTATTACTCATATGAAATTAAAGTCAATTATTACTCATATGAAATTATGAAATCACTTGTCGTTGATTAACTCTTCACCATTTCATGAGTGATAATTGACTTTTAATAATGATATTATATCACATTATCATCAAAAAGTATTAGTTCATAAGATATATTAATATTACGTTTCATCATATAATTTGAAATCACGTTTTTTCAAACTTACAATAACAGATAAATTGACAAGTGAAGTAGTAATATTGACAAATATCACAGCCTATATTAACAACTCTCTTTTTAGTGCTTTTTTTTGGGTCTAAGTTACTAGGAGTAACAAGGTTTTTTCAACTTTTTTGTTATTATAGCCAAGTCCCTTTGGGACTTCAGAACGAGTATCAAATTTTTAAGAACCTTTTTGCAGTATTTTGTCCTTTGTGAGACCTTATCGAAATTTTCTTTTTTTATTTATTTAATATAATTAAACACACATATGCATACGAAAATATTAATAATAGGTCAAAATGTAGCACTGACAGGTGGCGTTGCTATTGGAGCAGCTAGCTGAAAAAGGTCGAAATATTCAAATCAAAACATTAAGGTGAAGAATAATAGTAAATTCTAGCAGTAGTGATCAGTATTTTTTTTCGGTGAATGATACGAGTTTAAAAGCCCAATTTATTGTAGCAAAACAACACGAGGGAAGCTAATTCCTAGAAAATCATTGTATAAATGTGGTTTCACTTGCTCAGGTGTGTTTTATCAAAAAACTTCACCACCTTATCCAAGTCTAAACTAAGATTAGTTAAACTATCAGCCCTACAATTTCCTTTTCTATACACATGAACAACTCTAACATGAACAAAAGAATATAAAACAAATTTTACAGTTTCCAATAGACTCGAAAAACCCTCTTCCACATCCGATAACTTCCTCAGCAGATTAACTACAGCCACCGGGTCACGCTCAACTCGAAGGTGCCTAACCTTTATTTCTTTGGCAGGCTGTAAAGCGGTTACAATCCCTCAAATTTCAGCTTTGATGGCAGAATAAATACCCAGCTTCCTTACAAAACCCTTTCTCCACCCCCTAGTCCAGCAAAGCCCAATTGTCCCTTACACGCTCTATTCACATTCAATTTAATCCACCCCTCGACCAATAGAGACTGGATTTAGTGAAAGGAACTAATTCCTCACAAAGTGATGAATCAAAGTTCGAATCCTCGCCGAGAGAGGTATTCATATTTAGTGCCCAATAGTACTTCGAATAGGATTGCCTCTAGTAAGAGGATACTTATGTTTGGGGGGATCCATCCCTTCTTAGGTTGTTGCCATTTGACATTTTTCATAAGCCAAACTCTCTCCAAACCACCATACTCCGTATTGGCTTTCAATATTTCTTTAACAAATCCATTCACCACTCTACTTGGTTCTTTAGAAACACAAAACTCTACTTCAAATAACCTCTTATTCCTCCATTGTCATAAAAGCCAGCAAGCTACACCAAAAGAAGTAGCCCATTTCATACCCCTGTAGGTCAAGTTCCAGGCCAACCAATCCCTTCCTTGCTTCTGAAAGAACTCAGAGTTCATATCGCTAAAGGTAGTCCAATTTCTAATAATTAAGCTTCTAAAATCTACGACAACTTTGGAAGAGGTTCAAAGACGAAGAGTGCCATTTTTTATTATCCAACACTTTCTTTGGCCGAAAATATCAAGGGTATGTAGGGTTTCTTGTTTAGTAATTTGTTGTTAGTTGATTATTTTAAAAAAACAAAAAACAGTAATATGTTTGTAAAAACTAAAAAACCAAAACAATTTTTACGTGTTTTGAGAAATTTCCTTCTCTTATTACCTACTATCTACTAACTATCACTGCTAGCGATCACTATCACTTGTGGATGTGGATATGATTTTTTTTTTTTTGGAAAAATAACACTAAGGTCCCATGCAACACACAAAATACTACAAAAAGGTTCCAGGAAATTTGGTAATGATTCTGAAGTCCCAAAGAGACTTGAGAGCAATTTGGTGAATTGTAAAAAGACGCCTCTGCCCCTGGTGAGATGCACTCACACTAACTGAAAGTTGTCCTATTTTTTAGTTTGAAAATCGACACTCCATACGCAGGAAGCAAGAGGGAAAAAACCCAAACTTCATTCTGCTTCTTCTCCCATTCCCATTTGAAAATCTCATCCACTCCATTAATGTCAATCATTGGCAAAAATCACTTGTATTTTTGGTTTAATGTGTGTTTGGTCATTCAAGTTGGGGTTTTATTATAGGTGGATAGGGAGATTATAGGTGTTCTGTTTCTGGGTATATTGTGGGTGGATTGAAAGTGGGCTTGCTCTGTCTGAGCATGGTTCAGGGGGAATTGATGAGAAAGATGAAGTTTAGTGTGGTTAGAAACCCTTACTGCGAAATAGGAAAATATGTTGTCAATATAGGTCGTGACAGTTGTCAATATAGCTCCTTGACTTGTCAATAGTAACATCATTGTACAGATTTACATTAACTGATTTTTAAAATTTTTTACACAAAAGCCATGATCTTCTGTACCCTTGACTTATTGGTAGAGGTCACAAAAAGAGGAAGAAGAGGCAACAAAGAAGGGTGAGTAGTTACATGAGGCAAAAGAAAAAAAAAAGGGGGGGGGGGAAAGCCACTTTGATCCTAGACAAATGATGGCAAAAGTATTTTTTCGTAAATAGAAGTGACATAATTTTTTTTTGTAGATGTCACAACACACACAAATAATTAGTTTGATACTGGATACATGCAACTATATGTGTTTTTTTTAATGGGTTATAAAATGCATGTATCCAGTATCAAACTAATTATTTGTGTGTGTTGTGACATCTACAAAAAAAATTTATGTCACTTCTATTTACGAAAAAATTCTTTTGTGATCATTTGTCTAGGATCAAAGTGGCTTTTTTTCCCCATTTTTTTTTCTTTTGCCTCATGTAACTACTCACCCTTTTTTATTGCCTCTTCTTCCTCTTTTTTTGACCTTTACCAATAAGTCAAGGGTACAGAAGATCATGGCTTTTGTGTAAAAAATTTTAAAAATCAGTTAATGTAAATCTGTACAATGATGTTACTATTGACAAGTCAAGGAGCTATATTGACAACTGTCACGACCTATATTGACAACATATTTTCCTATTTCGCAGTAAGGGTTTCTAACCACACCAACTTTCATCTTTTTCATCAATTCTCCCTGAACCATGCCCAGACAGAACAAGCCCATTTTCAATCCACCCACAATATACCCAAAAACAGAAATCCCATAATCACCCTACCCACCTATAATAAAACACCAACTTGAATGATTAAACACACACCAAACTAAAAACACAAGCGATTTTTGCCAATAATTGACATTAATGGAGTGGATGAGATTTTCAGATGGGAATGGAGGAAGAAGCAGAAAAGTTTGAGTTTTTTTTCCTCTTGCTTCCTGCGTATGGAGTGTCGATTTTCAGACTGAAAAACAGGACAACTTTCAGTTAGTGTGGGACTGTGGGTGCATCTCACCAAGAGTAAAGACATCTTTTTACAATCTACCAAATTACACTCAAGGGAAACTTGAGAATCATTACCAAATTTCCTGAGACTTTTTTGTAGTATTTTGTGTTACATGGGACCTCAATATCATTTTTCCTTTTTTTTCCCCCGGAATTTGACGTAAATCGGCCGCGGAGATGATTTATTTTTGGTGAACATGCTGCGGTGATGATTTTAATTGGCTGAATGTGGTTCTGCTGGGCTTGGGGTTTATATTTCATTACTGTGGATGTGGATATATTTGGAGACGAAATTCATAAACTTGTTTGGAAAACTCTTCTCCTTGTTGTGCAGATTTTTGCTTTTACAAGGTAGTATCCTTTACCCTCTGCAAGGCAACTTTTGTAAAGGCCTAGAAATAAAATATGATATATTTGTGATTTTTTTTTGACCGGCATGATATATTTGTGATGATCCTGAAAAAAATGTGTGTATGTATAATAAATTAAGTGAGAGAGTTTGTGAGAGACAAATGGGATAGTTGATTACTTTTTTGTATGTTACCGTTTGCTATGGAACCTTGCCTAGTGTGAGCTGGTGGCTTAATGGCACAAACGCTACCGTATGTTGTGCGTTGCCGCCCCCTCCGTCTAGTCCTTTTCAACCCCCGGCATGTATGTTCCTTGAGGTTCCATTTCCAGTTGCTGTGGGTATCATGGACAGTGAACTTCCCTTCTCCTTCCCCTGTTTTGCTTGCCGTCGTGATGTACGTTTGTAGGTGTGGAGCTTTGCCTCTTTTTCTTCTTCCTCTAGAGAGACCTTTTGGAGTATAGGTATGCTTGAAAATTTCTCCCCTTGCTGTTATGTATGGTGGATTGAATTTATTCCTAGTTCTTCTTTGTACGATGCTCTTTGTGTGTGTGGGCACGAGTGTTAACCTTTGTTCTTTTTGTTTGTTATGGTGTAATGAGTATAAAATTGAAATTATTTTCTTCCTTGTAGATGGGCATCCGAAGTAACTGTGGGATTTGGGAATTTTTCTTAAGTGAAGCTTTTGATGAGAAGGGTTATTTGAATAGGTAGTTTACAGTATTTTTGTTCAATTTTCAGAAGAAGTATGAGGTGGAATTGATACTGCTTGTTATATTTCATGAGGAAATTTGTGAAAAATTGGATTGAGATAATTTTAAAGACTATGTTGATGTATGTTTTGTGAATGTGATCTTGATGCACATAAGGTGTTTGTGTAAATGTGTAGAAGAAGAATTTGGTTAGATTAAGATTATTGAAAGATGAACAAGTATTGTTTTTGTGTATATGTATGTATGTATATCATGGTGGTGAAGTTTGGGTTAATAAAAGAAATCTTGATGCTTGTATAAAAGGAAGAAGGTGATATTTTCTAGGCTTCAGTGTATTCTTGTTGAAATTGCTAATCAGTTGTGGTGATTCGTTGATCAAACTCAATATGACATTTTGTATGTGCAAATTTGAAGCTAAGATCTTCTTAATTCCCTAAATCACATTGTGTAATGGGTTTTGGTTATGTTTGTTGAGTAATTTGAGGCATTCTCTTATGTTTTGTTGGATTCTTGTTGACAATGTTAATTAATTATGGTTTTTATTATTAATAAAATTTTATGTCATATCCCATGTGAGGAAGGTGGAACCCAAGATCTTCCTTATATAATTTGTTGTTTTGTCGTGAAATTGGGTTATTGAATGTTTTCATTGAGTTATTTGAGATGGTCCTTAATTGATTTAAGGAAGTTTGGTTTATTCTTGAATGTCAGTAATTATGGTTAGTGGTTGGTTATTATTAAGAAGATCGAATGAAAGATTCTATCAACGTAACTTTATAGTTTTTAAGAAGTTTGGGAACAGGGAATGACAGAGTTGTTGTTTTGGGTAGTAGGGGATTAAAGAGTGAGAGTTTTTACGAGTGTGGCCTAGTGGGAGTGAGTTATACATTTGGGCGTACAGCAGTGAGTGAATAGCGTCCCAATTAATTTATGGAAAAAAATTTATTTTATTTCAATATGTTGTTCTCAATAGATTCACATGTATTTTAATATTATCCTTATTAATCATTGCACCATCTGAAATATTTTATTTATCCTGGTTCCTTTTTAGATTCACACTACTCTAACGAAGGATTTGGGAGTCTGAAAATTGAAGGGAAAAATATTTTTGGTTCTCTATTGAGGATTATAGCAAATATACCGCATTTTTTGGTTTACAGTTGCTGTTACCCGCCTGTATAACTAGAGTATATGATGACGAGTAATATGACATGAACAAGCTCAAACCTCCATTGTCGAGGTTTCTGGAGTCATCAGCTTCATCCGTCACCAAGTCTTTCAATGCCACTATCAACCGCCTTTCATCCCAAGGTGCTCACAGTGAAGTTCTTCTCACATATGCCTCTATGCTTAGGAACCATGTCCCTTCAGATGCGTACACCTTCCCAAGTCTGCTCAAAGCTTGCACCTTTCTGAACCTTTTCTCCCTTGGGCGTTCCCTGCATCAATGCATTGCCGTTAAAGGTTTGTCTTTTGATGCCTATATTGCTTCGTCGTTGGTTAATTTCTATGTGAAATTTGGATGCACAAATACTGCTCGCAAAGTTTTTGACTTTATGCCTGAGAGGAATGTCGTTCCTTGGACCAGTGTTATTGGATGCTATTCTTGGGAGGGTAATCTTGAAATGGCTTACGCCTTGTTTAATGACATGCGTCAACAGGGAATTCAACCCAGTTCGGTTACTCTTTTGACCATTCTGTCTGGAGTTTCAGTCCTTGCCCATTTGCGGTGTTGGCATGGTTGTGCAATATTTTATGGATTTATGTCCGATATAACACTGTCAAATTCTTTTCTAAGTGTATATGGAAAATGTGGAAGCATTGAAGACTCTAGGAAAATATTTGAGTATATGGGTGAAAAGGACCTTGTTTCATGGAATTCCTTGATGTCAATTTATGCTCAGATAGGAAATCTATGTGAAGTATTACAACTTCTAAAGACAATGTGGGCAGTGGGTATGAAGCCTGATCAGCAGACTTTTGGGTCGGTGTTGTCTGTGGCTGCATCAATGGGTGAGTTGAAACTGGGTAGGTCTGTGCATTGCCAGATTCTAAGAGCTGGATTTGACCTTGATGCACATGTAGAAACAGCCTTGATTGTTATGTACTTTAAAGGTAAGAACATTGATAATGCGTTTCGAATTTTTGAAAGGAGCTCTGACAAGGATGTAGTTTTGTGGACAGCAATGATCTCTGGCCTTGTGCAGAATGAGTCTGCTGATAAGGCACTGGCCATCTTCCGCCAAATGTTAAAATTCCAGGTCAAGCCATCCACTGCTACTATTGCAAGTGTCATTACTGCTTGTGCACAATCGGGATCTTTTGATTTGGGAATCTCAATTCATAGTTATGTATTAAGGCAAGAATTGACTTTAGATATCACTGCTCAGAACTCCCTTGTGACCATGTATGCCAAGTGTGGTAAATTGAATCAGAGTTTTATTGTGTTTGATAATATGAGCAAAAGGGATTTGGTTTCCTGGAATGCTATAATTGCTGGATGCACTCAAAACGGCCATATATGTAAGGCTTTGCTTCTTTTCAATGAAATGAGGACTCATTGTCAAATACCAGATTCAATAACTATTGTCTCTCTTCTTCAAGGATGTGCTTCCATAGGAGCACTTCATTTTGGTAAATGGATGCATAGTTTCATTATAAGAAATAGCTTAAGTTCATGTATTTTGGTTGACACGGCTTTGGTAGACATGTACTCCAAGTGTGGCCACTTGGATGCTGCACAAAATTGTTTCAACAAGATGCCGTGTCAGGATTTAGTCTCATGGGGTGCCATAATTGCAGGATATGGTTATCACGGCAAAGGAGAGACGGCACTGACTCTATACTCTGAATTCCTGAGAAGTGGCATGAAACCAAACAATGTCATTTTCCTCTCAGTTTTATCATCTTGTAGCCATAATGGACTTATTGACCAGGGTTTGAACATATACCAATCAATGACAGAAGACTTTGGGATCACACCTAATCTAGAACACCACGCTTGTGTGGTCGATCTCCTTAGTCGAGCTGGGCGAGTAGAAGAGGCATATGACTTGTACAAGAAGACATTCCCTGAGCCTGTGCTTGATGTTTTAGGAATACTCCTCGATGCTTGTCGGGTAACTGGAAACAATAAACTTGTTGAGATGATTTCTAAAGATGTTCTCATGTTAAGGCCCATGAATGCGGGAAATTATGTGCAGCTAGCACATGGTTATGCTTCAACAAACAACTGGGAAGGTGTAGGAGAGGCATGGACCCATATGAGATCTCTTGGCTTGAGAAAAATTCCTGGCTGGAGTTTCATTGACATACATGGGACCATCACAATATTTTTCACCGGTCACAACTCTCACCCACAATTTCAAGAAATTGTCTCAACACTGCATATATTGAGAAAGGAATCAGGGAAAAAGGAAGAAATGGGAATCGACTTTGAGATCAGCCAATGTTCATGAGTTTTATATTATACAACCGAGTTAACTTATTCAATTTTGTATTTGCTTTGCTTCCTTCCATGGCAAGCAACGAGCTTTCCTTAGCAACTTTTAGTCTTTTAGATACTGAAGTTGAGGGTGGATGAGGGATCGTTGGCTAGAAGGGTTTAGTGTTGTTGAGTTGATATGTAGAGAAAATTCGGGTGTTGGACGCATACCTAGTCATCAGGTAGGGGACGTATGGAGAGAAGTTAGGAATTTGCACGATTGTGTAAAAGCACAACCAATTCATTAATGTTACAAAAATAATTCAAGTGTATGATTGAGTTGTACTAATAAAGCACTCCTTTACAAAGAAGGAAGTGTTCCTTTTTCCACAAAAAAAAAAAAAAAAAGAAGTGTCGCTTATTTGCATATGGCAAAAAAGCTGAATTTTCCAACTGTTAAAATAGTAACAATTATGCTTAATATTTTAAAAATGAGGAGTAAAATTGTTGTGATTTTAAATTTTTGGGGTAATATTAAAAAAAATTTCAAAATAAATTTACACCTTGACTGAACATACGGACTTGTACGATCCAGTGCTGCTCATATTTTTTTTTTAATGAGTCAATGACTGAAATGGTACCAGTGAATATATGTTTTTGTCTAATTTTTATAAACAAAAAGTTTTACTTATTATTTTAGCGATTAATCCATGACAATGATCAAATAATTTCTTCAGCCAAATGAACAATTAGTGAAGGGTTAAACTACATATGCCCCCTCCGGTCAAAAAAAAAAAACTACATATGCCCCCCCCCCAAAAAAAAAAACCACTACTTACATGGCAAAAAGGAAAAGAAAAAAAGAAGGTAATTTCGCACTTTATACGATGCCGTTTCAGTACTCCTCCTGTCCTAAATAGACCCTTATACACGTATACTTAGGACCGGAGGAGTAGCTGCTAGCCCCACGATCAACATGACGGGCCACCGAATAGTCACACGAAGCCATGCAGGTTGCACGGACAGTTTGAAGCTTGGAGCAAGCCACAACGCATTGTAAGTGAAGAATCAAGATTGAAGATCGTGTCTTTTTTCCCTACCGCTTTTGGGCTGCAAGAGTGAGAGATGAACACGATGCAGCAAAGAAGGTTGAGATTGGTGATGTGGATTCTGGCTTTGTGTCTCATTGTTTACATAGCGGGACGACCAATGTATTGGCAACTTAGCGAGGGCTTGAACGCCACTGTTCGTCACGTCGCCTCTTCGTCTTGTCCGCTTTGCCCCTGTGATTGTTCTTTTCAACCCCTTATTTCTCTCCCTGAAGGTACCTCTCCGTTTCCTGAAGCGGCTTCTTTGAATTCAGAACCATTTATTGAGTTAATCGAGAGATCTACTATGGTTACTTTGGCTTGTAACATGGTCAGGGAAAAATCCCTGTGCTTGTGAAAAACCTTGTAAAACGAAAACGCCATCTCCTCAAATCAACGGTCGTAGAACATATTTGTCTACGCTCAGCAACAAAACTGTAGTGACATGGAATTGCCCTCTGAAATGTGGAATTGGTAGATGTCATATAAGACATGGGTTATTTACTGTACTTCGTGAAACATCATGAGAAGTGTGATTAATCTCCAGAAATAAGTGCAATCAATTAGTCAATTTCACAACTCATTGACCACAATGGAGAATATGAACTCGGTGCTGTGTTTGTAGATAATGATTCTCGTACGAATTTATTACCAATTGCTTGCTTATTTATTTCTTACCTTTTGCTTACGTATGTGAAGTGTCAGCTTAACACGGTGTCTGCCTGTTTTTCAACTTCAGGTTTGAGCAACAATTCCATTACAGGTTAGTTTTTCTTCCTTGTACTTTTTGTGGAGTTAGCATCAGCGTGAGCCCATAGTGACATGAAGAGATAATAATACATACTCCAACGTTAGTATCTGCTGTGGACGTCTGATCTGACACAAGTTGAAGAATCCTCAGATGATTAATCTTATTCTTCCATGTTGAAGGGTGTGGTTATTGCAAAATTGTACTTTATCATGGCAGGGTTTCCGATTGTTAATTATTTGTCATGTTTAGCAATCGGCACTCATAATAGTTGATTCAGTTGAAGTAATCCTAAATACATGATTTATGTGATTGTGTTTCTCTTATTAGTTAACACCAAGTTCTCAGGTGGGACTGACATCAAAATACCCAACTACAGTATTTTCTTGGGGTTAAAAAAACAGCAGTATTTAACTTGGAAACATTGTCATAGAATTAATTTTTTAGTGTGGATTCAAATGAATACTTTAAAAACAACCCAATTCCCATTATTTGACATGGTTGAACATCAAAGATGATGTATTTTATACTTATGTGGATCTGTCATTGAAAGATGCCAATGATGGTGTTACCCAATTGGTCAATTTCTTTGGCCCTTCATCCATGGGCAGTTCCCCACCCCCCGAGGGGTTAAAAAGTAATTATGTGTCGATATACGCAGTGTAGATTGCATGAAGGAAAACCCAATGATGAGTGAAGACATGCAGAAGAGTTTCATAGACCTGCTGTCAGAAGAAATGAAGTTGAAGGAAGCAAAAGCTTGTGAAAAACATCGGCATGATGATATGGCACTCTTAGAGGCTAAGAAATTAGCATCACAGTATCAAAAGGAGGCTGACAAGTGCAATTCAGGGATGGATACATGTGAGGAAGCTAGGGAAAGAGCTGAAGGAACACTGGATGATCAGATGAGAATAACTGCTCTGTGGGAGCTCAGGGCTAGGCAAAGAGGATGGGTAGAGTCCAGAGTGAGGTTCCGTCGTGCTTATGTCTGAGCATCGATTGTTCATTCCTATGTTTAAAGTCGGCATCATCTGACATGCATGTCAGTTGTTCATTTATTCTTTTATTCATTGATTCATTTGTTAATTTCTTGCTATTTCTCACTAGAAATATAAATACAGGAGAAATTAATTGCTTTTGGTTTTACTTCTATTTAAATGATCTCTTCTGCATACTGCTGTCTATTTTCAATCTGCCGATTCTTTTGTTTTCCTTTTCCCCATTTCCCAATCATTCACTCTAAGCCTGAATTACTAAATTTATGAGTACTGTATTGTAAAATCACTTATTTTGTCACTGTGGGAATAGTTGTTTACTTGACAGGGAAGTACAAGAGAGATTCTGATAGAGATTAATGTGGCAGACAATGTTTAAATCCCACGGTAAATTGTAATAATGATTTGAGGGCATCTAAGTGGATTGGTTTTCCTACCTCAATAATTATCTTTTGCGGAAGAGTTGCCTGTTCCACCTGGTCTATCAATTGGTATTATGGCGAGTGGTTGGTAGTTCAGATATGAGTTATTTGCAAACTGTTATAGTTGATGGAAGGTTCTAATTAATGAGGAAGCCAAATGAAGTGTCATGGAGAGTAGTAGTTGAACGTCAATTCTCATAGGGAGGCAAAATGACGGGGACTGCACATTGAGGATTCATGTGATGCTCTGATTTTTCCACCTCAATAACTAATTTCTAAGGCAGGATTCCTAACCTCACTTAGTATCCATAAAATTTTCAAGAAGACTGATTGAGTATTTGTAGATTAAACAAATTATGAATAGGTGTATAAACATAGCAGAGATAAGTTTCATAAAAAAGTTCATCCAATATGTGATATATTCTAAAATAATATTCACTGCCTGATCACATAATGCAAGAAAATGAAAGAAATTCATCAAAGGAATTTTGGAGTGGATAATGCCATGACAAGAACTTTATCTACTATTTTTTTTTTATAAGAACACTTTAGTTCTTATTGATTCATTGTAAAATAATTTAATGCTACCTTCGGTTTTTAATATAAGACCCGATTGATTAATTTGGAAAGATTAATAAAGTTACTTTAAAATATTTATGTTTATTATTTTTCTCCAAACTAATTTGTCTTAAATATAAATTGATATATTATCTAATGATACACACATGTATTTTAGAGAGATTATGTAACATATACTATAACTAAATAATTTGGTAACTTTTTAATCTCTTGAAATTACTCAACTGGATTTTATATTAAGGATCGAAAGTAGTACATTATATTTATTTGAATTTATTCTCGCTGATTCATAATAAGGCAGTCTAACTATTTCCTTGGGAAAAATTCTTAGTATTAGTGTAGTGCCAAGACCTGTACTATTGCCTTATAAATTTTGCATGTGGATTCATAATCCACATTATGTAAAGATATGTGATATAAAGCTAACACTGCCAAAAATGCTGTTACATATCAGCGTGTGAACGGTGAAGGTAATCTCCGTTGCATGTTGGAGCCAAAGAGAAAGCAATTTGCCCATTTCTGTCTATTGCAGCAGAGGGCCAACATGGTCATGAAGCTTTAAATTTTGAAGCTTAACAAGAGGGTAAATTAATGCAGATTGTCTCAAGTTTGTCCCAAACTGCATTAAGCCGATTGTGTCCGTCCATTTTAATAAACAACTCTTTGCTTGCCATGCCAATACATTGGGAACTGCTTTTCACTGAAAATCTTGAATCTCAAAGAAAGCCAGAAAGTAACAACTCTTTACTTCGTGAAAGAACAGAGATAAAAATGATATGATTCAACCTCAAATCCATTTGAATTTAGCGGATAACAGCTGGGCCTGCGAATTGATGTGTATTCGAATCATAGGAATATTCATGCTTGTTTGGTCTTTAGTGGAAATTAGGTTAAGGTAAGTCCTATGTACAATCATTTTGTGTAATTTACAACATTCAGATATTACATAATATAATTCCCCAGTGAGGTTGATACAAATAATAAAAAGTATTTCTTTAAAAAGCAGAAACCGTGCTACCAATCACAGTCTGATATATTACCCAAAAAAGGGGAATATAGTACCCGAGTGAAACAAAACGACATCATACCCTTACACTAATACTGAAAACTTTACAATATCAAATTAATAAAAAAGCCAAATTCTGCTTTTATATATGCTGGAAGCACCTGTACATTGTTGAGTTCATATATCTGCGGAAGCCGTCCTTATATGAGGAATGATGATGATGATGATGATGATGATGATGATGATGATGAAGAAGTTAGTATTTATACAATGAAATGATCATCCTTTATCTATGCCACTGATTTCAAGGTGATGGAAGATCTGGAATGTTTCCGGATCCAGTTTTGCTTGGCACTGGAGTATTCCTTCGGGATTGGCGTTTTGTGGGCACAGGAACACAGTCAGTTTCCCACTTTTCAGCACTTATTTCTTCATCATCATCTTCCATGCTGGCCTTGAAAACTGGATTCTCATAGGCATGCTTGAGGTAACCTTCCAAATTCATGTTTGGTTCTGTTGCTTTCTCTAGTGTATCTTTCATTGTTGCCTCCTGTGTCATATTTTTAAAAGCAAACATTAAAAAGAACAGACATGTTTGTGTCAGACGTTTGAATAAAGACACTTTTTAAGATTATAGTTGAGGTCATGTAAGATAAAACGCAACAAATGATAAATTGACATACCTGCAAGGGATATTTGACAAAGGCAGATTCAAAACGGCCTTTGCAGTAATAATGGAACGAAATAGTTAGTATTGGGAGAGCAATGAGAAATGGGGTTGATGTAGCAGCTTTCTTGGTGCTTAATAGTCCCATCAGAACTGTATGTGAGACTATCAATGCAACTATGACACGTAAATGGACATAAGGCCAGAATGCTGCACCACTCTCGTACTCTTGATTATAAACGTTAATGATCTGCAATAAGAATCAATCTCCAGGTTATACATAAACACACGCGAGAGAGAGAGAGAGAGAGAGAGAGAGAGAGAGAGAGAGAGAGAAGATTTGCAGAATGATATATAATTGTTAGAATTATGCACATTGAACTTACTATGCAGAAGCAACTATGCTTTTCTGCAGTAGTTAAAAGCTACACAATCCCAGAAAATTCACAACAGTAACCCCTTTACAGGTTATTATTATTCAAGGTATAAAGAAATCATACTCTTAACAGCACAAGATGTTTCGGTTTAAAATGAACAAAATATCAAACTTCAATAGAAATAATAATAAGATCAGGATCATTTCCGGTTTTTACCTGATGACGGAACACAACATAGGCCAGTGCAAAGAAAACTATGATGAAAGGAGAACAACAGGTGTGACAGCAGCATAGACCAGACCAAGCAGAAAGTAGAGTTGAATACGAGGTTCTCGGGCATGGAAGCCGATGCTCCCTGGATCCATGGCCTCTTCCCTGTCCTTCTCAGTCTTCACCAGAAAGAAGTTCTTCAAGTGATAAAATATCAGTGGCTTCAGCATCAGGATCTCTGCGCTATACCAGCCCATCCATCAACCATTATGTAGGAAATGAAGAACGTTGCTTTTATTGGAATTGCATCTCCAATTGTCTCAGGGTATCTGCCAACAAGCATAACAAAAGTTCATTAAATAAGGGTGGTCAGAGAGTAGTATATTGAAACTAGAGGGAAATGTGTGCAGGATTATAAAACTCAAGCAATTTCCTAATAAAAATTAGTTATGGGACTTTTAGGAGAGGAAAAATATAATCTACTTTAGAACATCAAGTAAAACAAATTTTGAGCACATATACATAAAATTTGTTTATGTAATTATACTGATTACGTGTTTAAATTTTACTAAATAGGATAAACTGTAAACTTAATTGCACAGAAAACATGAATCTGATATAGAATTTGATTATGATTCAAAGCAAAATGTGAGTAGATTAAACAGTACTGAATGAAGTCTAAAATGACTTACGTATTGGCTGGTTGGTGCATAAAAGCTTTCAATTGCTGAAATGCTGCTCCAGTGAGTATGCTCACAAAAAATACATTAACTAAGTTAAAATATATAGTATCTGGAAGCTGCTCTATCTCTCAAGAGATGATAGAGACACAAAGCCTTCGAGCTTTGCCATTATTAACAATATTGTTGGCACAAAGAGCAGAAAAAGCTTCAATATGATACCAGGCAAGAAGCCTTGGATGAATGACTTGATGAAGGGTCTGCACAATGAAGTACACTAAGGTAGGTATGATAACTAGATTATGCTGGTTGATTCAATAAAAACAAATTGTTGAATCAGTCTTTAGTCGGTTTAATTAGCCCGAAAAATCAGTCAAAAAGTAAGTCTTCTTTTAAACAGGACCAAACTTGGGTTAAGAGTCACCAATTATACTAATCTGACCTTAAATTCGGATCCTATGAAGTGAGAGTTCTAAAAGTTTTCTGGAGAAAGTAACCAGTACTTCCAGTTATAGATAAATTTTGCGCTGTATGTATAAAGAAAGGTAAATGTGGAGTATAACTTCAGAAACTTCAGAAACTTCAATTTCAAAAGATTTGGATTGTCCAACTTGACCCTGGTCAGGGCCTAGCCAGGCTTGAGCTTCAGAGATGAAAACAGACTGCACCAAGGTCAAGCCAGAGCTAACTTCTAAGCTCTGTAGCACAACAAAAGAGAAGACACTTACATTCTACAAGTGGTAACAGCCAAACGTGCTGATTTCTGGATGCCTTCAATACTTGCAATGGATTGAACAATTGCAATGGGAATCATAAAGAAGAAAGTGAGAGAAAGAAGAATGCAACAGCTATGATGAGCCTCCTGACTCTGAGGGAAACATAAGGGATTGCCAAGTTTGGCCAATACACATCTCGTGGCTCCGGGGCCCACTCAGTGAGCCACATTGTTGGGTTCTGGTTTGTTGTGTTTGTGCAAAACAGCAGCACCCCATCTAGTTTGAAAGAAAACAAATGAAGCTGGCGTGATGGATTTCGGGTCATTTGTAACTTTGTCCC